ACAGTGCACTGTTCCCTTTCAGAGGTAGGAACATAGCCAGTTGGTTATCCAGCTGTTAGTGTTGATGTTGATTTACTTGTTAAGCAAACGTTGTCTTGGTATAGAATCAAAAGCTGAAGTATAGCCCAGAAAAGCGCACCGAACATACTTCTTACCCTTTTCTAAGTTGAACACTATATTGTGATGCAGAACAGCAACAGCATCTAAGGTGCTTCTTTTGCATCTGTAAGCAAACTGATACGGATCAATATGCTCTTTTGTCGCAGGCTGAAGTGGAAGTATAAATAACTTTTCCATGGTTTTGAGGAAGGGTGAAGTTATTGCAATAGGTCTAACTTTCACATTCCTATCACCAGATACTTTCTTCAGTACAGGGATTGTCTTCATCTTCCTCCACATTTCCGGCATGATATTAGATGAGAAGGATCTGTTAAAGATAATCGTGAATGGATGAGATAGGACGTCAGCACATTTCTTAAAAAGGCGGTTTGGGATACCATCAGGTCCCAAACATCGGGATGAACAAGGTGACTGGAGACATCTTCGGACATCAGATTCAGGGAAACTAGGAACACAGCGATTTTATAAACCGGTGGATAAAGAGAGCATCACATCAGGTGGCTGACGTACAAAAGACGTATTTAAGTCATACAAGTTCAGCTGGCTATCGCTCCTAAACTCTCTGTCACCTGTAAGTTCTTTATAGAGTTTCCACATACTTGGAGAGTTTTCGCAAGACAATAGTTTTTGAGTAAACATAGAGTTGAGACGTCTAATCTCTAGGTTTATCAGACCATTTAGCTTACGAACTTCATTGCAGTTTTTCTCATTGTACATTCTTTCTTTCACCCTCCGTAGTCGTTTTAGTTGTGAAGATGTAAGTCGATCAAAACTCACAGAAATTGTTTCAGTGAGACAACAAATATCAAAACAGAATTTAAGGTAACAGGTGATAACATCGGTAGTGATTTCCAGTGAGTCATCTGTAAATAATTCTCAGTTAGTCGTATGAAACATGGTTTTTAGATTTTGGATGTTTTCGTCTGAGTAATTCCTATATTGGACTTTCTTGGTTTGATGTAAGAGTGTACTCTTCCCATGCTTTCCATATACTTTAGGTAGAACACGAATTATACTGTGATCCGAGCAAGACAATGGAGCACGTTTACGAGTCGCATATATACACACATCGCTAATGAAAACGAAGTCTAAATGAGCATCCAAACGGGTAGGAAAATCTACTACAGTTTGGTGTCCTGGTGATGTAAGGAAGCTACAGTCACATGAATTGAAATCACCACATACAACTGAAAGTGAATCACTGAAGGCAGTAACAGAGAACTCAGTGAATTCATCAGCGAAAACGGATAGCGCAGATGATGTGCAGTCTGGAGTCACGTAGATATTGGTAACATAAATATATTTGTATTTATTCAGATATTTTGGACGACATCTTAGAGTTAGACAGTCGATAAAGTCATTTGAAAACTTAAAACACACAAACGATGATCGACACCAGTTTACGTTTAAACACGTAGCTACACCGCCGACACACCTGTTTTTATTGTTTGATCGATCCTGAGGATAAGTTTCGAAATCACGCAGTGATACTAGGCAGTCGTCCTGTTCGATCATAGACATATGTACGGTTTGAATGGTAAGAGATAGATAATCAAATTAGTTGGTGTTATTCCAGACCAAACGGCACTTAATATTTGTGTAGACGCTATCAAATTACTAAATGTTCCGTTGATCAAGAGATTTCCCTTACAGTTGTAGTTCAGAGCAACCCAATGTAACATTGACAGCTTCAGGTAAATAATGATATCAATGGTTTATCACGTATATCAACTGTCTTCTCCTTTTCATTATCTATAGTGAAGAATGCTCTTTTTCAGGTGTCTTATCACTGATAGGCGTTTTATTTAAACACTTGTTTGTCAAGGAATAAACTTAGTATCAGTATTGGTTTTGGGAAATTTGTTTAAATGGTTTTATATTGTTTTAATGATCTCGAAATTGTTGTTTATTCAGAAGAATATCTGGCTATCTAAATCAACCTACGGTGTCATATTAGGAGAATTAAAGACATTTCAACGAGTGAAGTTTCCTTACTCAAGCTGTACGATCATATTAATTGTTGAGCAACAAATGAAACAGTCTATTTAAACATGTGATGGTGATTATATCATATCACATGTTTGAAAAAATTGCCTAATTTTCAAGAATTCGAAGAAAGATAATAAAAAGATATAATTCACCTTAGGAAGGACACACAAATAACGTTCGGAGTTGCTTTTGGGAAGCGCTTGCTCTATGCAGCGAATGGAACCTGTTCTACAAAAGCAAATGAACACACAGATGAGCATTGATTTAGCCCAATTCGGCAGATTATCTTTGACACACTCACGAGTGATGGGGAGATAAGAATAAACGATGCAATTCTTGACAGCATAGAGGGTTCATTCTAAGACGTCGTTTAACTTCAATTCAAATGTTCTGCAGCGGTATCTTCCTAGAACTTAAACTCCATGGTGGTTTTCTGGAATTTTGTGAGGTCTTCCAATTTGTAGTTTAGGTTCAATGTTTCTGTCAAAAGAACCAAGAGTAATAGTCACGTTTGATAAATATTTGATAGGACTTGCATATTTCCTCATCAATCGTGCATTCAAAACAGATTCACCCAGCCCTTCATAATGAAGAATGTATTGAGTTTCTCTTTCTGTCTGATGAAACACAACCAAGAAAATTCGTATGTATGGGAACTTGAAGTTTCATCGACATTGCTACTGTTACCACTAAGTACGTTTTGCCTTTCGCATTTCAGTTCAGAACTTTCTTCATGATGCAATTCGACGACTTCCGTAAAATGTGACCTACCCAACTTTTGGATCTTCTGCTAACGTCATTTTCAGCTGGATGCTGATTTGATAACTACCTGACTTGATTATTACCGAGGATATCAGATCAATGTAGGCAGCCGTTTATAAATGTCTGTACCTATTTGATGGCGGCTAAATTAGTTCTTCAAGTTTCAGATCCCTGAAATAAGATTGTCATGACGTTTGAATCAAAACTCGTAACATTGGTATTGACTGACAGTTATTATTATTGTTATTCACTGGCAGCTTGAAATGTTCGAATTATCTTTTCAATGTCGCATCATTTGGCATTTTTATTTTGACCTGATAAGCAAAGTGTAATTGTGTCCTATGCCACATTACTTTAGTCTGATTAGCATTATGAGTAGTCGAAACTGTGTTTTGTGATTCATTATATTCATCAACGACAGTGAGAATGTAAGTGTTTTGAAACGTAGAAGAAGTGGTGGAATGAGAGTGGTCATCATTCCATTTGAAATAGTTTCAGATCAAAATAGTAGGTATTTTACATAGTCTCATCAGCAGACAATATCTCAACTGAGAAACAAATATGGTGGCTCCCAAATGAACTGTTTGATGTTGCGATGCAAGTCGTAACCGACGGTTTCAAAAATGCTGAAAATGAGGCGGATACATACAGTCAATAGTTAAGATGCCCACTTTATTCAATATTTTATGGTTAATACCATACGGAATTCTCAGCATAGTTCTCTACTGTGTTGGTAGACGAATTTGGATAAAATGAAATGAGACTCATCACATTACTCCTACCTACAGAAATCATTAGTGAATTGTGAAGGATCTACTGGCAGTTGAGTAGATATCGGAACTGCTGAACACAGAATTCAAGTTTGATTAGAAATTGTTTCTCTTATTGAGTTCCCTATTGTGTCGTCATGGCTGAATGAGAATTAGGCAATTTAGAAGGTGGAATCTCGTAGCGTAGAGAGTGATGATGTGATGATTATTCATCAATGTTCGATTTCTACTTGTTTCCTGAAATTCCTTTCGAGGTCATTCACCTCATCAGCTATCTTGATCCCTCATTGTTTAACCAGGTCTACATCATTTTTGAATCAATTTGAAGTCTAACTAGAATAAGTTTCTATGTATGGACAATGAGTGTTTGGTTACCCATGTTACATTTTTTGCTGTGTTACCCAGAGAAATCAAAATCAAAAGACAATTCTGTCCATCCTAAATAAAATTTATTCAACTATGAATATTACGACACCTACTATTTATGCTAATAAAACTGCTGATATTATTGACACTACTACCGCTGATGATGGCGATAACAAAACTGCGACTAGGAATCCAGTTCAGAGTATTTGACATTAAATATGCATGTTTTTCTTCTTGGGGTTCCTTCGTTTCTGTCGGAAATCATTGTTACATAAACTGTGAAGAATAAAATAAGGTACTACTGTAATACTGAAAGTGATAGATCATATTTAATTTCATTTGTTGAAGCATAATTATTTGTGTGCCAAAATAGGTTAGTCTGGAGATGTATTATAATTGAATATGAAGACAGTGAACAGGAAGTCAGAGACATGAACTAAGTTTTGGGAAACTTTCTGCGTGATGCTACAATTGGAGACAATTTTGTTATTACAGACGGTTGTGTCTACAGTGGAATCTTTTTGTTATGGCTAAATTACACCATCTAAATATTTCTAAATGTAATCTTTTGAAAGTCTGGTTCAGCAGATTGATCAAACATTGTCCACTGATATGCATGTATTATTGATCAAGAGTTAGTTACCGTTTTCTAATTAATCAAGTGTATATCATTAATTAAGAACCGTACTCGCACTTGAATTTCATACTAGTATTTGATTTTAGCATGAATATACGAGGAAATTGCATTAACGTCAGAATCGAACTACTACACAACACAACAATGTCGACTCAGTGGTTTGAAGTTTAGTCTGTTGTCTCGACATATGAAGGTCATAGGTGCTTACAATCGATGTTGAAATAATCCAGGTGACTGTGTATTACGGTTGTCATCAAAAGTTGAGTCAGCCACTCAAGAGAAATGAAATGTTTAAATGAAACAATGGAAACTGAACACCTGATTAACATTATAGTCACTGATTTAGTGTAACTTACACGGAGACGGTACGATATCCTCTGCGTGTATTTTTCTCCACCTCAGAAGGTGGTGGTAATTTTAGTACTGTTGTACAACTTTTGTTTTGTATTGTTAATGTTCGATCTTCCGTTAATGAGAGATTGAAAATTTTGCTGGTATAGTTTATAGTTCCTAAAGAGAGGAAATATGTTATGTAAACTGACTATCTCTTCGTTACTTATAATGTAAATGCTTACATACAATTATGGTGATGCATATGATTCCACGTAGTGTTAAGCTAATGAATGCAAAAGAACTGTTCAGGTGCGAAGAAAAATTGTAAACTGCATTGGTTGTCATTAACTGTCGGACAATAAAGAAATGATGCTTGACTATGATAACTACTGTTAACCTTATGTTTACTGGCAGACTGTACGTACTGACAAAGATTTCGAGACCGAGATGACTAATGTAACAGTGTTATCTTAAGTTTTCAACAAACACACGTGAATAAAATACGTCAAAACAAGTAAAATACATTGAAATGCAGTCTTGAGATATATTGACTTCAGTGAAAAATGTACGGAATACTCATTGATGCACTAAGAGTGTAACAAAATGTACGCTTAGCATGCGATTGTGTGATCGAAATGATTTAATGACTATCAGGAACAGTAATGAAATGAGAAGCTTCTGTAAAGTGAACGACTGATTCCGAATATTAAGTGAATACTTAGTACTGTTCTTTTTGCACTAGTGATGGTTGATATATGCTTGAACACATTTGAGTAGATCTGTTCAGTCTATGTTGAAGAGCAAGCCTCAACTATAATTGGAGATTGGGTATCATGCATAATAAAACGATGGATAACAGTGCTGAGAAAAGTAGTTCATTTAAGTATATGATATTCTGAAGGTCGGTCAATTTACTTCTACGGAAACTACTACTACTATTACTTCTACAACTATTTCAACTACTACTACTACTCACACTAAAACTAATACTTACCATATTCATAGTTCAAGTACAAACACGTAGATTACATTCATGTTTAGAATATACAATTTACCTGTTTCGTCAGTTACTATTGGTACTGAACAATTGTTTGTTTCAGTCGTCACTAAGCACCATATCCATAAGATAGTTACAGCAAGGTTAGCTTTCACTATTTGTGCTCCAATTTCTCAACTGAAGACGACTTATTATCAGAAGGGCTTTTTGTGAATATTATAGTAATTTATTAGTTGAGGTCCCAGGTTTAAATCTCGCGGTGTGGGATCGTGGATGCACGCTGCTGAGAAGTCCCATACTAGGACAAAACGGCTGTCCAGTGCTTCCAGGTTTTCCATAGTGGTCCAGCTTTAATTGACTTATGAACTCAACTAGTAGAAAGATTTATCTCAACAATTCAGAAAACAAACCTTTTAGATGTATCGGCTACCTTCTGGCATCTATCCATTTATCTATCAACTAGTCAATCTATCTATTATCTTCCTATAGATCAGAATGGCCATCAGACAAATCAAGAGCAGGAAAGCAGCAGGACCCGACAATATACTAGATGAAGCACTGAAGCCAGACATCGAAGCAACTACAAACATGCTTCACCTTCTATTAAAGAAGATTTGGAGGGAAAAACAAGTGCCGACGGACTGGAATGAAGGACACCTCATCAAGATTCCAAAGAAAGGAAATGTGATCGGAAGTTAAGACTATAGAGGCATCACACTACTGTCAATATTGGGAAAGTCTTCAACACAGTGTTGCTGAGCTGGATGAAAGACGCAGTAGTCGCTCAACTTTGAGATCAACAAGCTGTATTCCATGAGGATCGGTCGTGCACAGACCATATCGTAACACTACGGATTATCGTCGAACAATCAGTTGAGTGGAATCCGTCACTACACATCAACTTCATTGATTATGAAAAGGCACTTGACAATTTAGATAGGAAAACATTTTGGAATCTTCTTCGACACTGTGGAGTTCCTAAGAAGATTTTCAACGTTATCCGGAACTCATACGACGGAATGAAGTGCAGAGTCGTGAATAGAGGACAGCTGACTGATGCATTCCAAGTAAGGACCGGAATCAGACAAAACTGCCTACTCTCACACTTCCTCTATCTTCTGCTGGTTGACTGGACTATGCAGACCTCGACATCAGTATTTGAAAACACTTCCGACCACTTTTTAAATGTAACACCTATTTTAGTACAGACTTGTTTGTGCTAAATAATTACAAATACGACTGTACCGTTTCAGTAAATGATATTTCCAATTCCGAATGTTTCGATGGGTTTCTCTAATTACATAAAGAGTGAAATATTTCTCCATGATGTTCGTATCATTATTCCATTTCACCGATGGTGAATAAATATTAGAAATAAATGGAACGCTACACTTTAATTCGTATCACAATTGTAATGAGTTGTTTAGACATCGTCTCTAACACAACATGATATACTGGAATACGTATGCCATAACCACAAGTACAACACCATATGTGACACTTACGTCTCAGTTTAAGTTTTCGGATTTTTATTTCTTGAAAACAAAAGTGCCAGCGGAATCGAAGTGACCGTCTTCCTCAAGCTCTTCTTTCATGTTAAATGGAGTTATTTTAACTTCATCATCATATTCTAAAGTCATAGCTTCCTGACCTTGTAGAATAATATACAGTAAACAACCAGACACCATCTATATCTGCTTCATGTAATCGGAAACAATCTTTATCGTTAAAGTCTTCTTCATCACTATCCAAAGATGGCTTTGACAATTTTAAAGATTTTGATAACTCTTCGCTAGTGATCTTACTTCTAGTTAAGTAGCTGGACAAATATGACATACCACACCTAAGCCAGAGCGTTTCGACATGTGACTGGATCTTTATGTTAATAAATAGTCGCCGCCTCCCACGGCTGCAATAAGGAAAAATAACAAAAGTTAGAAACGCATCTAGGTTGATAAACGAACTACCAAATTTCATCGTTAATCCCTTAAGCATATATTTTGACCTAAATGTAACCCTAAGTGGATTGCAAAAAGACCATAAGAACGCCATAGCAGGTTTATTTATTTATTTGAACGCATAAACATTAGTACAAGGAGGCACCAAATACATATGCGCCACACAGGTCACTTGATTTGTGTGAAGGCTGTGATACAAGCCGGGTGTCCAAACTGAAGCAGGTGGACTCCCTAGGGTGCCACACGCGGATCCTTTGACCTTAAGGTCTAATCCATAAGACAGTGAGACAGCGTGAGGAGATGTAATTCCATGGGAGCCGGTAACCAACAATCGGTTCACACGTCATTTACCCCCTCCCCAGGATCCGGGAGCACATTTGCACCATTGAACTTTCCTGTCAGTGGCTGTACACGCATGGGCGCGCGGATTCACCCCATTCTCGCCATGCCAGGGCATTTTCGGACTAAATTCTTTAATAAAGAGAAAGCGATTACACTTTACCCATGTTATGTTTAAGAATAATAAACAGTGACAATGGTATGGCCAGCAGTTTAGGCCATACTATACTGACTCTAAATAGTGTTATTTGGACATGATTATCGGTACATATGCATCATATCCATTTCACTGAAGTCGCAAAGTAAATGCACAGTCATCCGATAGTACGCATTAACATATACAACATGCCCTAAGCCCTGTGTCCTTCACGCATGAAACCATAAAAATGCGTTCAACCGTAGAATTACAAAACCTTTATTATCTGCGCTAGGGCTAATTTGCATTAGCATTCATCGATAAGCAATATGTTATCTTAGTATGCGCTGTTATGTTAACTGTAAATAAAATGAAGTAATCATTGCATTCTCTAGCAGTGCCTGTGAACTTCCTTCCTGTGGAATACAAGTCAGTCAATAATGATAAAAATGTTGTTTGACCTTTAAATGTTTACTAAGACTTAATAAGAATACGTTTTGCCCGAATTTCGATCTGTTAAACAAAACACAAACTGTTAAGAAAATTAGAATATTTATTGCAACTTTACAGCCCGAATACAAAAGCACATCTAAAGGTCAAGAAAAATAACTTGGAAAGAGTACTACTAGCTGGAAAGAAATCGGGAATTTCATTCTTTTTCCTTCCTCGATGAGTTACTTGTGGTGACTTGCTCGTTACTTTGATAAACTTCATGAGAAATGCGACTCAGATAATACAACATCACCAGCGAAAATATGAAACTACAAATGACACAATTAAGTTATCTCTACCATAAATTCGAATCAATAAACAAAGTATAATGAGTATTATTTCTTATAGTACAAACGCTATAGGAAGTTACATTACTTATTGATCCGACCATAGTTACTACGTTCGAGCTACATCGGCTGTCAGTCAGTCGGTCACAACGTAGAATCTGTACGTACGCACACTGGTTCAAGTTGCCATGGCCTACTAGCACAGAGATGTTGTCAGGCTAAATCCCAGATTAGTAGAGAAAGTAACAGTATCAGTAGTATTAGGAAAGATTAGGCACCGAAGATACGAATCCAAAAGAAAATATCAATTGATGAAATCAAAACACAAAAAACAAGTCACCGGAAATTTAAAACCTCAGGATTTGATGAGTCAGTCAGTCAGTCAGCTACAACGTAGGACCAGGTACATATATGCATCGGTCCAGGTTGTCATGCCGCATTAGCACAGCAAGATAAACACCGGATTCATGGGAGTGGTTAGGTCAAAGGTGATGATATAAAGGAGAAAGATTGCATATAAGGATATAGTATAGGAAGAAAGAATAAGATAGTAGAAAGAAAGATATGAAGTGATTTTAATCTCTTAGTTTAAGGGAAGACAGGGAGTGTATACACCTACACCATTGTGACCGATTCTGAGCCATGTCACCAAGTCTCCAACCATTGGTTACGAAAGTCACGCGGACCCCAACCAAGTAGTCTGCATCTACCAACATGGCTCAGACTAGAGGTTAGTGTCTTCAAGCACTGATGCCACGTTTTGGTTTGGCCGCCCCTAATTCTCTTCCAACCATCCCGAACACCCATTAGCATTGCACGACGTGGTAATCGGTGTTCAGGCATACGTAACACATGGCCCAACCATCTCAGTCGATGAAGATTCACAACCTCATCAACTGATTTACCATCATTCACTAATGCCCTGCGTCTAACCTCACTATTACTTACCCGGTGACCCCGGCAGACGC